GGACCAGCATGCACCACCGAAACGACTCCCAGAGGCTGGGGAAAGCTGGCTGCCCGCCAGAGCCGTCGTTGCAAATGGCAAATACTAATTTCCTCTCCACCTTATCCCCTGAACACTGCAGACCTTTGGCGGGGGAATGCATGAACAAGCTCAAATGCGGCGCTGCTGAAGCAGAGATAATGAATCTCCCCGAGCGCGTGGGGACTTTTTCCGCTATCCCGGCTTTAGGGGGCATCTCATTACCTCCAGGGGTCATCGTCATGACAGCCCTTCACTCCCCCGCAGCAGCCTCAGCAGCCGTCACAGACAGTGCGTTTCAAATTGCCAATCTGGCAGACTGCCCGCAGAATCATTCCTCGTCCTCCTCGTCCTCCTCGGGGGGAGCTGGCGGAGCCAACCCGGCCAAGAAGAAGAGGAAAAGGTGTGGGGTTTGCGTGCCCTGCAAGAGGCTCATCAACTGTGGCGTCTGCAGCAGTTGCCGGAACCGCAAAACGGGACACCAGATCTGCAAATTTAGAAAATGTGAAGAGCTAAAGAAAAAACCTGGCACTTCGCTAGAGGTCAGAGGAGATGATTTCTTGTTTCCCAGCCTCCCCCCTTCCCCGCGCACTCCCCTCTCCTCTCCCCTCCAGGGCTTCTGGTCCAGCCTCAAGATGCAGCACCCCTTTTCTGAAGCTTCATTCCGGTTGTAAGTTACTGTGGTAGGTGGAATGCCAAGGGCAAGGCCTCCCCGCCTGGCCTCCCTTCTCGCAGCTGCACCTCACGTGGAACCACCTCCCAGATGAGGAGGGAGCCCCTCCTTTTTCTCTCTAGGGGAAAAATATAATGTAATTGGTTTGAAAAATTACAAGTTTCACATTCAATATGGTCAGAATTCTCCCTTGGTGATTTAAAAAGCCACACTCCTCTTTTTTTAATTTTTTTTTTTTTTAAGAAAAAGGGAAAGAAAACAAACGCACCTTTGCCCAAAGGTCTGAACACATCCCATCTTATATATTGTTATTGACCAAGGGAGCCCTATGAGTGGCCCAATTCTAAGAGGGGCCTATGGGTGACACACAAGTCTATGTCTTCATAAGAAAAACAAAAAATGCAACAGTGGATAATTGAAGAGGGATTCAGATAGGGCTTTTTCCTCCTGCGCCTTACAGGTTTTTACACAATGACAATATACTTCCCATTTTAATTTCTACATCTTTTGTATTTTTTGAGTGTCGACTGGTGAATATTACCCTGAAATCTTTAAGGAGACAGGATTTAGCACCCAGTCACATTTTCAGAGAAGGTGATTGATGGTCATTTTGTTGAAACATTGTTATATATAGTTTCAGAAACTAATGATTCCTATGATTTGGTAACAGACAAATATCCTTTGGGCTCTGCCTTTGACAAAATAACAATTTTGTGGGCTGTCAAAAATTGTTCTTTACACTGAGCACTTTTTTTTAAATTGATAGACCTGTATGGTTAATAACAGTTTCGGTTTTTCCTATGTGACTTTAAATAGACAAGATGCTAATCCTCAGTAAAGTAGCCATTAACTTAGACTTCTAATTATATGAAATAGAAAAAAACTGTTTGGTGGAAATTTCCTCTGGTATCCTGATCAAAACACAATGAGGAATGGTGGAAAATTACAGGTAAAATGATTTGGGTGGTATATTATGCAATAAAATATATGCACAAGAAATTATTTCTAGCCCTTTGGTATTAAAATCTAGAGTAGGTGGTGAAATGTTCATGTGGGCATGGTTGGTTTAACTTTGAGACATTACATGAACTGGATTGTGGGCTAAGAGTGGTCCTCACAAGTTATCCTTAGAGGTATACCTATATAATCTTTTAAAAATTATGAATACAGCTTACAGGTGTTTTATTCAGAAAGAGCTGGGAATTAGGCTTCAAAAGAATATAGCACAAGAGTTAATGATCTCTGTTGCAGTGTTGAACATATGGAAAATATAGATTTTTAAAACTTATTAATACAAATCAAAACAAATAGCACTTTGGGTTTCTAAAAATTATAATTGTATTGATATTATTGTTGATTATGATCAATTCCATCCAAATACTGCAATGATTCCCTTCTCTACCCCACCCCATCTTTTTTTTTTTTTTTCTGAGAACTCCATCTCTTCATTCAGAAGTTTCACTTTACTCCAGGACAGTTTGTTGCATGTCCTTTGGCAACTCCATATGAAAGAAAATAATGCAGATCCAGGTGTTTTCTTATTTAGCAAAAATTAACCACCCACCCCCAATTGGGTGATTGGTTTATCATAACTTCTTTAGGTCTCTAACATCCAAAGGTAATGAAGAGTTAATGCTAAAATTTTCTGTTAATGCACACATAGCGCTTATGTGTCCTCATGGAATGTTGTCCTTAGAATTACAGAGTTGGTGTTGCTATTGATCCTCAGCTTCAGTTGGACTCATGGCCCTCTATCCCAATTTAAGATACTATGGTGCATATAGGCCACGGAATAATTCCGATTTGTTTGCTAAATAACCTACAGCACTTTCTATGTTGATGAATTGGGCAAAACAGATTTCACAAATCCCCCCAAAGTGACCCATCCATCACCCAATTTTCCTATTACTGCAAATAAAGTAATAGGAACCCCCCCCCCCCTCCCATTTTGGATGTAGTTCTCTGACAATCTTGCTATGATGTTTACTCTCCTTAGACATTTTGCTGCAGCACCCCATAATATCACCTTTCCTTTCCATTTAGAATTCACATACACAGGAGTTCTCTTGATCTTCAAATGGTAGGGTGTGGGGGACAGGGGAAGCAAGCATTTCCCTTTGTGTAATTCTTGAGTCTGGTTTTCTTATCTTCACTTGTAGACTGCATTCTATCAGAGGCTCAAAACTTAGAACAATAGTAGAAGACTAGATAGCAGAAAGAAAGAAAAGGCGCACGTAGAAAAGCTTGACTAAGATTCCATTCCAGTCATTAAAGGAGGCAAGGACAGCATGATTGCCTTAAGCACATATGTTAGCTGTAGGAAACCAGCTGGATTCATGTCAGAGTGACAGGTATAACCTGACTCAACCAAAGCTGGAGCAGTGTGGGTGCAGGTCTGTGAGAAGTCCGCCTGCTGACCTGGCTTCCCTCTCTCATTTGGTTCCTGTGACTTCTCATCTGAGGAGATGTTTTAGCTTCTGGTTGGACTCCCTGAGTGAGGGCGGGGATTTGGGGAATCATCATAGAAACTACCTGTGGCGTTCAGGTTTCAATTCAGTAGCTAGTATTCGTTGGATTAAAAATTATAGAAGCCAGTTAACATCTGGACCCTAGTTATTATTTGCACTCTTGCTGCCTCACACCTGTGTGCCCTTCTTCCCTTTGTCCATCCCAAAGACTAGAGGCATGCTAGATTTTCAGGGGAGTAAAGACAAACACATGGAGGTGTAGAAATGCCTGCCCACATTTCTAAAGGCCTCCCTTCTAACATTCCTTTTAAAATGGGTTTAATTATTTCCTAGCAGATCTGAGTAGTCTCACTTGAAAGGTATCTTAATGCCTTAGAAACAGATGTATAAAATCATATTCCACATGAGAGTAGTGCACCTAAAACATAGTTTTCCTATGATAGTGTGCCTGCACATTTGCACATGCCTGTGTTCATTTAGTTCATTACTATATTAAGACATTCATTAATTATTCAAAGTAGCTACAACAAATGCGGCATGCCTTTTGTGTGATAAAGCTTATTTAAGAAAAAAGTATACTTAAATGATCAATGTGTAGTTCCTAAGTCTCTGAACTCATCCAACATATGATTCAGAGTTGACTTGATGGCAGAGGTTTGGAGCTGTGAGCTATCTGAAGCATGTGGTTACATAAGAAATGCTTGTGATAATAAGTAACACACTTACCAGCAAAGGTAATTGTTCAGTTTTTATATTCACATCTTTATGTCTGATACTAGGTTCTAGTTTTTGTTGCTGTTTTGTTTTTAATATCCGGGCTCCAGGGATAAAGTTGTCCTATGGGCAACTCTGGCCTCTTAGTCCCTGAACATTGTTCAGGTGACATGATTGATCTCTGTGGGACAGCGTTAGAGACCACACAGATCTGGTTTCTCTCCCATTAGTTGATTTATGGAATTACATTCGTAAGCAGTGCCTCAGGAGGTTCCCCTGCCCCCACTTTTTGCTTTCTTTGCTGCAAGTTACACACCCCACCACAAGCGTTTTCCGCTAGCTGGACAACAGATTAGAAAGGAGCAAGTTACAGTGAATATAGAATGAGAATCTGGAATATCACAAAATATTCTTTGTTTTTCCTTTATTAAAGAGAAAAAAAATCTTCTGGTTTTATAAATCGGGTCACCAGACTTTTTTTCACAAGTTAGATTTAGCTTTCAAGATGTTGGAGGAAACCATTTAGATAGTCTCTGAAACTTACAACTTGATTTAGATGGGTATTCCGGGGGAATTTCTTTATACATACACTGTTAAGTATACATAATATATATACTTAATACAAATGGCAGTTGTACAATCTGCCCCCGCCTCCCCCTCCCCCATGCGAATGGCAACTGTAAAATTCTGGACCAAGCACACACTGCAGCCTATGCAGAAGGATGTCATCTGCTTCCTAAAGAAATTCACTTGTAGACCACACACATGAAAGAGATGTCACTCACATACCCTGTCTTTGAGTATGGAGCTCTGGTGTAGTAGTTAGCACACTTAGCTGCAAACCACGGTTGGGGGGTGGGGGTGGAGGGGTGTCTGTAAATGGTTTGAATGGACCAGCTGCCACTACAAGGGAGAAAGATATGCCAGTCTGCTTCCCTCAAAGATTATAGCCTTGCCAACCCCAGTGGGCAGTTCTACTCCCACTGCAGGATCTCTGAGTCAAAATTGACTCAAGGTAACCAGTTTGGCTTGGTATTTTGCTAGTTAAATAACAAAATCACTTAGTGGTTGGACATGTCATCAATTTTAAAGTTTGGCAATTTTATCTTTTAATACTTAGGGGACAGCGGGCATGGTTTATGCTTTAAGTGGAAGCATTCACCAGTTAAACCCTTTTATAATAATTTAAGAAGGAGTGTTCAATTTTAATAACCACACACTCCAGCATAAGCAAATACATATTTATTTTCATCTAAATTGCAAAATATGTTTTGCTATTAAGGGAAAGAAGTTATTGGTAAAATGCAAACAAAAAAAATTTTTTTTCACCATCTTAGCACTGGAATGTGCCAGTGGAATTATTATGCTAGTAATACCATATTAGCACATGGATTCTGAAGTTTAAATGATGAGGGGAAAAAACCTCAAAGTTCAGTTTTGACAAAAGCCATACAAGAGATTTGTGGCAAAGGTGCAATTATTTTACAACACTGAGATTCTCTTTTCATGATTAGCTTTGTGAAAATAGAGTCTACAGTGCTTTTTAAGGTACACATTGTGAATAATTCTTAGATTAAAAATAATATGCCACCCAGAACCATGCACATTATATGTAATCTTTAGATGGGAGTTAGAATAAAAGTAATTAAAACCATTTACAAATTACACTGTAACAATGTTTATTTGA